TATTTATATATATTTGTATATATACAAGTATTTGTATGAGCAGCGCCTGTGACTCTTAAAAAAAGTTTCTGGTTTCGTTGGCGCGACAACAACAACAACAACAGCGACGGCAACAATAAATAAAACTTCAATATGCGCCGCCCGGCCTTCAACGCAGAATATTAACAATATATTGTACATATGTATGTGCATGCGTCTATATGAATGTGTGTGTGTAGACAACAACAACAACAACTGTCACGCATCGAAGGGGGCGCGAGGGGCGGCACACAAAATTGTAGAAGCATCTCCGCTCGCTCGCTCTCTCTCTCTCTCTCTATCTTTCTTTCTCCGCGTCTCTCAAATTGCCAGCGGTCTGAGTTAAAGGCAAAAAAGGCTAAAATAGCTCAAAAATAAGCACAGACACACACACAGATACTTATATACACACAGGCACTGGGACCTACTGAAGAGACCAACAACAGCGTGCGGGAGGGAGAGAGGGAGAGAGAATCAGCATTGAGCTTGAGCCGTGCGTAAAGAAATCAAAAACAAAAACAAAAAAAGCCAAAGCAAATAAAACAAAAATCGTGATTAATATTTTTTTGTGTGTGTTTTGTTTTTGTTTTCTTGTGCTCTTGAATCGGGCTTTTGTTAAGCTTTTAATCAACAAAATTAAAAGAAGGCTGCAGCAACAACAAGTGGAAATTAAAAACTAAAACTCGACTTGTCGAATTCGTTTCGTTTGCTCATTTTATATATACTTTTTTTTTCTCGGTCGAAGACAAGTGCAATAAAACGAAAATATATGGCAAATAAATAGCAACAAAAGCCGACGGCGACAACAAAATCAATATTCAAATTAAGCAGCAACAGCAACAACAACAACAACAACAACAATAGTTAGCAGCAGCAGCAGCTATTCGACAACTTGTCGATAAGCCGAAAGATAACGAGCCGCAGCAGCAATAGCGAACCGGAGAGCGGCCATACCGGAGAGCGACAGACAGTGAGCGTGCGTGTGCCCCAGCGAGTGAGAGCGAGTGAGAGCGAGAGAGAGAGAGAGAGCGGCGGTGGCAGCATCCCAAAAGAAAACGTGAACACCACCCACCCGAAAGAAGCAGAAATCATGGGACGTCGCACGTATCTGAATCGCGCCTATGCAATTTCCTACCCCAGTCGCGTCGAGGGCTGGCTGGACGTGTGCGGTAAGCATTAACCCCATAAGTACGCCATCCCTAAGACCAACCCAGACACCCACCCACCCTGAATTGCAATCTRCTTATAGCTATTTATAGATTTAAGCTTGCCTTCAAGATCTTGACTGAGATACGCATTGAGAAACTAGTATGAACAGAAGTGGATGCGAGCAAAACTTTCAAAGACAATATGTGATTAGTTTTTGTCTTATAGATTGCAGAACATCTATCTTATATAAATATATCCATATATGTTATATATCTATTATAACTTCTTTGGAATGAGTTGTTTCAAGAAGAAATAGAAATGCGTAGATAGAGAAAGAAATAAGCATATGAAATATACATTCATATATCTCTTGTATCGGTATATATCGATATCAAAATCTCTCATATCTTCTTTATAGCAACTCAAATGGTAAAATGGCCGAATATCTATAGACTAAAGGGGCTATATGTACTTATATATATATCTATTGTAACAGACTTGATTACAATACTAATATCAATTA